GTATCGCTCTTTAAATTAAAAAACAACCACTATTAATTATGAGACGAATAGTGTAATTAGGGTTGTAATTATGAGACAAATAGTGTAACTAGGGTTGTAAAAATTTACACCCTTGAGTGTCACGGCAAAAATCACGTGGTTTCTAGAAGCGCAGAGTATTTTATGGCTTGTGAGTTGTGACACCAAGTTCTTTCCGTATGACGTGGCGTGGCATCAATTTTCAAATCTCGAGTTGATGAGAGTTGACACCCACTAGATTTTCAACACGTGTTTTCTGAGCTGACGTGTCATCTCGTAAACATGCTTTCTCCAGTTCGACATCTTTCTCTTCTGTTTCTGCCACTAGATTTTCAACACGTGTTGTTTGAGCTGACGTGTCATCTCGTAAACTTGGTTCTCTAGTTCGACGTCTTTCTATTTTGTTTCTGCCACTAGATTTTCAACACGTGTTATTTGAGCTGACGTGTCATCTCGTAAACTTGCTTTCTCTAGTTCGACGTCTTTCTCTTCTGTTTCCAGCTCATCCTTCTTTTTTTCTTTTTCTTTTTTTTTCGGCCGAACTGTTTCCAGAACATCTGGAGTTTATTCTTTCCATACACCCCTCATTTTTGCAAAAATTAACAAGATTGTCATTTGCCACTGAGAATCTCATCCACACTTTTCTATTTTGCTTGGCTTGTTTAAGATGCTTGCCGATGCAAATGGTAACACCGACCATAAATTAAAAAGAAAAAACAAGCATCATATATGTGTTTATGCTTAATTTTATAATAAATAAAATGGTATTATATATCATTCATATCGGAGTTTCTCTTGATTACATTGGTTTGTAGAAATCTTTGGAGACGGATCCAAAATCTTTTGTTGTTTAACTCATTTAGTGCACGAAATTCATATTTCATTTTTGTCAATTATCTTATCATTAAGGTGTAATTTATTATATTCTTTCATTAACTCACGATTAAGTTCCGTGCTTGAAAAAAATAAAAAAAAGTCATTAGAAAAATCTTTCTTGTTTTAAGCAAAGCAAGTAACATATTATTTCACTTGCTACTTCTTAAGGAGATTTTTTGGGTTAATAATATGTAGAAAGAAAATTATAAAAAAAGAATTAAGCATCATTCTATTATCTTTTTTTGCCATAATTTTTATATAA